TATATATATATATATATATATATATATATATATATATATATATATATTTATATACTCGTCTATGGTTAAACGTGATTGGACGTCAAGCGAGGAGTACTTTATTTTTGAAAAGTTAAAAAACTGTAAAATACTATATTTTCACCTCGGAAGTGAGTTTGATTATTTTTATGTGGCGCTGCAATTGTACAGAACGCCCAAATAATTATTAAAGGGAAATCTTTCCACGAGGATCGGCTTTGAGATCGGCATAAAGATAGCAGCAGGTCCTTTATAATCGGATTGCATCTGATGTGCCAAATAAATTTACGTGTGAAGAACTATCAAACTTTTTCTTGAAAAGAAAAAGGCTTACGCGTGGAAAGTTGCGTTCAATTAAATTTTTACTGATATAATATAAAGAAGAAAACGTCACTAAATGAAACACTCATCAACGATATATATGTGTATATGTGTATAATTAAAACTCTAGCAAGATACACGTCATACAACTAGTGGATCGTTTATCTGAAGCTGTTTCTGTTGAATTAAAACTGCCAAGACGTCAATCGTTGTTCGTTTTTTTTTTTTTTTTTTTTATTTGTTTTCTTCTATCTCATTATATTATATATTATCAATATTTCGTTTATAGAAAAAAAGCTACAAATATAGCAAATTCAAGGACTAATATAGTTATACCGAATAACAGCATCAGACTGTCTCTTAGTTATTATTACAGTATTAAACAGTTGTAAATATGACACGTCACATACAACACGTTTTTTCACGCTGGAACATGAATTATATATTCATACTTGATCGTATTGGAATGTAAAAAATTGGCATAAACATATATACATATAGTATATATGTTATATAATATATATGTATGTATATTATATACATGTGTATGTTGCCACCCTCGATCCTCGTCTTTCCCGGTTAAAGATAAATTATTTTAAGTCTTATGTATTGTATGATTATCGTTACGTTACATTGTTAAGGCTTAGAGAAGATTTGCTATTATTAATGATTGCAATTTTGTTATGCTGTTTTCTCTATGCGCGGAACAGAAGATGCTACTTATACACGATGACAATGTATATGAAATATATACAGATTTTGTTATCGATGTGTCTGAAATAGGAAAATTACTGCATCTTGTTTCTTCTGTTCTTCGCTGTTGTAATAATATTTAGCATTATCATAGAAAATTTATCTTAGTTTACGAGTATGTTGTATCATTATGTTTATGATAAGACTGGGAAAATGACTTTTGAAAAGTAACTTGTTACTCATTGGGAAAGAGTAATTCGTTGCCAATAGCGTTATCGTTACTCAACAAGCAACGAGTCGTTACAATTTTCTTCACCTCATTCAAGTTTTAAAGACCTTATTTTTGCAACTTACCGTCGCATGTAAATGTACATTTATTATATGCATAGTATATGTATTCTATCTACGCAAAATAACGACAAAAGTAACAATTATATATATGCTGGTTATTGTTACCCGAATATATAATTGTGTTATCGTTATTAATGAACAGAAAATAACGTTGTTAATGTAAGAAGTAACTTGTAGCGGCGTTAAAAGTAACGCCGTTACTTGCTAACTCTGCATATCACATCGTTTATCTGTTTGTAAGCGTTAATGATTTGCTCAGAGCACATCAATGACTTTTCTACAATGTAATAACGTAAGTAGTTAAAGTTAGAACTTTCATAACAATTAGATAGAAAGCTCTCTCGCTCATCTAAATGAGCGATCAGTGAGAACAGTCACGACAGATGTGAAACTTTGGAGGTCATCATCCGAAGATTTTCTATACATGTGTGCCTTTTGTAAAACGAGACATTAAAAATTTGTACAAATTCAATTTAGAAAGACCTTGGACTTATTTCGGAGGCAAAGAGCAGCGTGGCGCTCGACTTTTAGCAACTTTGAGTAAATGTAATCTTCGCCGACGAAGAAAGGAGAGAAATCTGACTGCGCTCCTTATTACAGGATACGCGAATGCAAAGATTTATAAGTGTGACAATGAAAAGTGTCCCCCGCCAGGATGCTACACGTCCGCCGGATCTAGTAAGGACGACTCGTTCCCTTGTTTACGCCCGGCTTGCACAGGGAGATACCAATTAGTCCGTCATGTGTCCTTCGTTGATTGTCCTGGGCACGACATTCTTATGGCTACTATGCTGAACGGAGCAGCCGTTATGGACGCAGCCTTGCTTTTAATCGGTAAGAGACTTTTGTATCTTTAATGTTGTCTTTTAATACTCGTGTCCAAAGATATTCCCTTCTTTCTTGATCTTTTATAATAAATCACTTTGTTTCGGAATTGCAGCTGCGAACGAGTCATGCCCGCAGCCACAAACATCGGAACACTTGGCAGCCATTGAAATTATGAAGCTGAAGCATATAATCATTTTGCAAAACAAGATCGACTTGGTAAAAGAACCGCAGGCAAGAGAGCAACATGAGCAAATTTTGAAGTTTATCCAAGGTGCGTTAGGAACGTGCGACGAAGCTCAGAGAGACGATTGTCGTCATTATCGGATTGATCAATTTCTCGAGCTTTGGCCATGATTTATCATGATATATAGGGTGCCAGCGTAAGACGTACCAAAAGAAAAATATAAGTAGAACAGATAAAAGTGAACAAAAATTGTAGAGATCATTTTTCAAACAACCACGTAAAATTTCGAGATATTAATTAAAATAGTTGGGCATATTAGAGCGCGGAGACGCGGCAGGCGGGACGTATGGCTCGCCGTGGCCGGCGAAGAAAATGGACGAGCGCACACGTACACGGACGCACACACGGAGCTACCCATTTCCGTATGCCAAACGGCCCAACTCTCTGTTTTATAAGATAGGGCTACGAGCAATCGTCAATTTTTTATCTGTTCTACTTATCTGTTCTACTTATATTTTTCTTTTGGCACGTCTTACGCGGGAACCCTGTATAGTAACATGATAGTAATATCTGAATTTTGAATTTAGGCACCGTGGCGGAAGGCGCACCGATAGTCCCGATTTCGGCGCAACTGAAACCCAACGCGGACGTACTGTGCCGGTTACTTGGTGACAAGGAGAAGATTCCTATTCCAATGAGGGATTTCACGTCGGAGCCGCGATTGATCGTTATTCGTTCTTTCGACGTGAATAAACCAGGCTGCGAAGTGGATGATCTGAAAGGTGGCGTCGCCGGTGGCAGCATTCTGCGAGGAGTATTGAAGGTAGCTTAACCCCGGCCAAAGGACATAGTATTATTACCTCTTCCCGCTCCTCTGAGAAACGTGTATTAATGTAAAGTGTTACTCAAAACTCAGGTCGGTATGGAGATTGAGGTTCGACCAGGATTGGTGTCCAAGGACAGTGAGGGAAAGTTGACTTGTCGTCCGATATACTCGCGCATCGTGTCTTTGTTCGCCGAGCAGAACGAGTTGCAATTCGCCGTGCCGGGTGGTTTAATAGGTATATTCAACGGAATAACACGCTCGTTTGCGTTAATCTAATGTCGGCCGGCTATTAAATAATCTTTTAGTTCTTCAATCTTTGAAATTTTTATTGTTCTTGATGTGATTTCAAGGTGTCGGAACCAAAATCGAGCCCACTCTCTGCCGTGCCGATCGTCTAGTCGGTCAAATTCTCGGAAGTGTCCAGACTTTGCCGGAAATATTCATCGAACTTGAGATCTCATATTATCTGCTCAAACGTCTGTTAGGCGTGAGAACCGAGGGCGATAAAAAGGGCGCAAGGGTAAGTTCACTCTGACGAGTAATTTTCTCATGATTTTCACATGATTCGAGATCCCTGTTACTAATTATTCTAACCAATATTCGATTCACTCCCTAAGTAAAACCGTATACGAAGGTGAACAAATATTTTAAGGTGAAGTCGAAATCATGCCCCGATTGATATTCACACATTATTCTATCGTTTCCTAAAAAAAGAACATTTGTTCAATGTCATGAAAAGTAATTTCATATATTTTTTATTCCTACATATTTATGAAATATTTTCTAACAAATACATATTATTTTATTTACATGAACACATTACGATCGCAGGTACCGAAATTGTCAAAAGGAGAAGTATTACTAGTAAACATCGGATCGTTGAGCACTGGTGGAAGAGTGCTGGCTACTCGTGCCGATTTAGCAAAAATTAGCTTGACCAGTCCAGTATGCACAGAAATCAACGAGAAAATCGCATTGTCGAGACGTGTGGACAAGCACTGGCGCCTGATCGGATGGGGGCAAATTTGCGGCGGGCAGACGATAGATCCTATTCAGGATCGGAAGTAACTTCGTCGATCCGGAGAATAGAGAGATTCTCGAAAATCGAATCATTATTTCTACAACTTATTCGCAACGCTGTCGTTAGCCTTATCAGTTGTACGAAGTATTTGTAATAAAACAATGAATCTAATACTATACAGAGAGTAATTTCAGACGTTTTAATGGGGTAAATCGTCAAAGAGTAACACGTTGGGTTGGTTAATTGCAAGGTATAGTTTAACTATACTTTTTTTTTTAGTAACTGAACAAATTTCCATCTTGCTATATGCATATGGAAGCTTTAGCTAAAACTATTTAAATTTTTAAACGATAATCCATTTCAAGAGATTTGAGTTGTTACAACATTTATATTACTTGCTGTTTATTAAAAGCTACTTTTAATGGTAAGAATATTAGAACATGTTTTTCGCCACCTACCTTATATTCAGATTTAATCTGTCAAGGGAAAGTACCCAGGTAGCAACCTTGTTACCTGAGTATGACCGGTAATAACTGGGTATAACTTTGAATTATTTAATATAAAAATATAAAAACATATATTGCGGATACAATCCATTAAACACTACAAACGTTTAAAGAAAAGCTCTCATTGATCTATACCGCGCTTTGAAACATTTGTAGCGTGTAACAGGTCGCATCTATAGAGTTTATAATTATACATTTTTATCTTTTTATTAATACTTATAAGATCATTTTTTAATTTCGTGTTACAGATAGATTGTATTCACGAACTTGACATTGCTATTTCTCATTAATGTTAACAAGATTTATTACATTTGAAAACATTTTCATATTCTGTTAATAGATTCTACTTTACTTTTGCAAGTAAGCTGCTGACAAGAATTTAGACATACTGCGCCAAATCTATTTTTATAGGCTTGGTTATTTGGGGGAAATACCTTTCGTAACAAGAGACACCGCCGAAAGTTAATCTGATCTCATATTTATTTCGTATTTATTGCTTTGACGATAATAATCGCGTCAAGAATCGAAAATCATTATCGATTAATTATAATTGATTCGCGCGATTCAAAGGGATCAGTTTCGGTTTAACCGCCGTAATGCAAGGGCGCGGTCCATTAGATGCTACAAATGCTTTGAAGTGTAGTATAAACCAATCATGTCTTCTTTTTAAGCGCTTGTAGCGCATTTGCAAAGCATTTGCAGTGTCTAATGGATCGCACTCAAGTCTATTCGGATGTGACCTGTGATTTTTTGACCTGGGATATATTTCGAATTATTTTCAAAGACTATAAAATTTCACCTGTCGGATAATGACGATAAACAAGTATAATATTTATATAACTTAACAGATAATAGCGTTAGAAATAAAGCTTTATGAAGCATTTGAAGTCAGAGAGAGGGAGATATGTACATCTATATATATCAGCGATTTCGACTGTACTAGACTGTACTGCGCAAGCGTTCATACAGTTTGTACGGTTGCACCAACGGTTGCAATCATGGCTCTAAGTCCAAGAGAATCCGGCAAGTTCATCTCCTCGACGGCACGGAACGTGTTTATCGACAACGAAAATATAAAGTGGCCGGCGCTTGCGGTGAGTTTTGGCTTTCTGCACACATTTAAAGCGACTCGCGACAAGAGTCTTGAGAAACTTTTTTTTTTCTTAATTTGGTGACGCTGCCACCGTGCCACTAGCCTTTCCCAAGGTTTTAGCGACTATTTGGCACATTTTTGAGAAACTCGATGAGAGTTTGGTTATTGCTCTGGGGGTCGATTGTGTATCTCAAAACGAAGTGAAAATTACAAAAGTGAGCAAATTCACTAGGCATTGATCAATTAAGTTACAAATATTCTAGTAAATTTACTCACTTTTGTTATTTTCACTCTGTTTTGAGATACACAATCGACCCTCTGTTCTTTTTAGCTGACTGCTGAACTTGTACAATAAGTTAAAGTGAGACAAGTATATGTTTTCTCACTCTAACTTATTGCACCAGTTCAACAGCTGAAAAAACAGACCATATGTCGAAAGCGCGCTATTCGAACTAAGTTTAACCGCCGGTACAGTAAGACGTGTCGGAACAAGTTCAGAACAGTGATTTTTGGAAGTTGCCTTGGAACCTGCCAAGACCTTATTCATTCATAACTCATATAAGGATTGGAGAATGGCGTATGGGGATAATCTTTTTCCCCGGAGCCAATACAGAACAGAACAGAACAGCGCTATTCGAACTGGACGTGAAGTCGTTTTGTGTGTCAATTTGCGGGGCGCACTGTAATACACTATGTTTATTTTGTCGGAATTTATTTCGTATCACCTGTTGATTGAAAGGTGGTATTTATAGATGTGCAACCAAAGTTGATCACACGTTACAGAAATGCAACTATATAAGTTTTCGTTTGATCTGTGCAGTTTGTCGAGGCTATTGAGAATTCTAGCTTCAGCTTGGACAAGTTCTTGCAATGCGAATTTCATCCCAGACACGATGATCCCTTGGCGGTGGACTGGATATTTGTCTTGGACACGTTGAATTTTTCATTTTGGACTGCAACAGGCAGTAAGAAATGGACAGTAAACGGTCAGACTGGCTACTTCGCTTTGTGTGCCGCTGTCAAGAGAGCTATCGAGGTAAGTGCAGTGCTTGTTTGGCTACATCTCAACCTGTTTCATGTGGGAGTTATGTATATAAGTTAATCACATCTGAATATGGTTAACATGATTTAATGTAAAATAAAAGTACTAATACTTGGATAATAACATTGGTATCTGATTCTGAATATTCTTATTGTTTTGGCCTTTAAATATGAATATTTAAGTTATTAATATAGAATATATATACATATATCCAAATAACAAGAGGATGTCTAAAAGCATCTTAATGATGTTAGAAACATTAAGACATTGATGTCACCTTACTATTTGAATATTGAATATTTACATGTATGATACATGAATATATACATATAATGAATATATATTCTATGTTGAAAGTTCAAATATTCATATTTAAAAATAATAACGTTTAAAATCAAGTGTTATTATAGAATCCAGGGCATCAGTCATGAATCGTTTTATGTGAACTCAATCTTACTTATCAATCATTTCATATCTTTCCCTAATATAATCATGAAAAGTGAATAATTTTGTAGTGCTTGAAGATGACCATAAATCTTTTCCTCCAATGTAAACTTGTATGTGAAAAGTGAACATTTCTATATATTTTCATGGTTAAATTTTTCACGAGTTTACAGTAGAGAGAAAGATCTATAATTGATTCCCAGGAATTAATACTTTTATCTTACATTGAGAGAAAAAATATCTAAAAATTATTAAATATTTGATAGGTATTGCTAAAACATATTTATTTCTACATTTTTTTATTTAAATAGAATAAATAATTGTACATTTCATGTACTAAGGTTTTCTTAAAGTTTTCTTAAGGTTTGAAGAAAAAAGATATATATATATATATATATATATATATATATATATATATATATATATATCCTTATTTGAGAAATATTTTATATTAGTGTAGCTAAATATGCTGTTGGTACTCATCAAATAAGTATTCATCATTTCTTAGATATTTTTGCTGTCAGTGGTATTGGTACTGACACTATTTGTTGGCTTTGCGAAACGACATCGACACTGACGCGTGTTTTTTAACGTTAACGTTGTCTGCTTGCCAAAAGCTGCTGCCTTTGTTGGCTCGACTTTCGGCAAAGTCACAGATCGTTGAGATACTTTGATTCTTCTTTCTTGAATCATTAACTTTCCAATCTTTCTATGCTTTTTTACTCTATTATAATCGTCTTTTCTCACAGTGTGTTTCCTTCCTAGTTCCGTGTGCACTGATTTGCCCTTCCGCCTTAAATCTTGGCCAAATTTTACTTTTACAACCTGCCATCACACGCAAGATAATATTTATTAAAATTTGCAGCCGCATGTCGCTGAAAAGTTAGTGAAATGTAACCAAAAAATTTGCAGCGCTTGAAAGGCACAGAAATTTCAAACGTTAACTTTACACCTTGGCTTCTTTTGACTTCACTAACTCGCGCGATCGATACGTCGACCTCCACGATTCCCTCTTCTTTTCGTCTCCTTTTCTATCCTGCGCGACGCGATATTAAAAGAAAATTTCATATGAAGTATATCCTTCAAATAATCCACAAATGCTCAATCGCATGTTTTACCGTGTCGGTTTGAAGATATTTCTCACAACAAATACGTCGCCTCCCATCAGGTAAGTATCTTCTTATGTAACAGTTTGTAAATAGCTTCGTATTTTCTAAAAGCCCTGTGTACATGTTAGATTAAATAATTAATTAAATGAAGTAAATAATCGCGAAATTTTTATCTCCTCTATCGTGCAATAGACACATTTCGATTCAACATTATTATCGAATTATTATAACTTGTGAACAATCTTACAGAGTTCTCAACGAACATTTCGTTTGACACCTTCTATTCCTTACTTTCCATTCTCGCTCTTTCTTTCTTTATTTTGTCGTTGTAATTCGTTATAAAGACTTGGCGGCGTGTATTTAAGCACTGCAACAATACCTCCTGCTCTGCGATGTTTCTTTCCTGAAAGTCTCGTTTCCTCTTCCATCTAAAGTGCATCGTGTGTAAAACCTCGCTAAATCCTCTCTCGCTTGAATATCGTTTATTATTAAAATATCAAAGAGCACTTATTTTTCCATTTAAGTAACACGCATACCTTTCTTCTGTGTCTTTCCGTTTTTGTCGTTCAGCATCAACAAGTCGCTTTTCCCTGACTCTTGCTCGCGCTCTTTCCTTTCTTTTCCGTTCCATGGAAACCTCGATCATCTCACGACGCGCGAGTTTGCACTTTTGCTGTATCCGCTCGTATCGCTCCTCGCGTTTGGCGTTTATCAGCTTCCATCCTTCTTGCTTGATGAACTTCGACAGTTTTAATCTCTGCGCCACATTGCGGTCTCTTTCCTTTTGCATCCTAAGTCTTGCTTCTCGTTGCTGCGCGATAAGCTGTTTAACATCGGTCAATTTTATTTTTTTCTCCAGTCTGAAATTATTACGTGTTAAATTATTAGGAGCTAATGTGATAGAAAGAACGTGATTACAATGATATACGCATATAAATAATTACATAAGTGCAAAGTCGCGTGTACTTTCTAAGAATACTTCTCTAAATATATACACTGAAAAAATACTTAAAAATTGATTTATAGGATATAAAGTTTATTTCTGTGAATAAATTTCATATCTCACCGATAAATTTTCAAGTATTTTGTTCTTAGTGTACGTATTTAAAACATTTTTATTAATATTTTATTATTTTATTAAATATATACACACACACACACACACACACAGGGTGTTGAAAAACAACATGGCACAAATTTATCTACGTGTTTCTCAGACAATTCTAAGAACAAAAGTTCATATAAACATGTGTCCGAAACGGCTTAGTTTTTTAGATAAAGGGTTTTAAAAATTGCAATTTTTTTGTAATAATATAATAATAAATAATAGTAATAATAATAAATTGTCTTAAAAACATTGAATTTTTTAAATCTAATATTCAAACAGAATTTTTTTTTTTCACAAAGATAGGGTTAAAACTAACCCATACTTTTTTTATTACTCTTATTTCTAGTTTTTATTCAAAAACTTTTTTGGCATTTTCAGAAAGTGTTTAGTTAAACACAGGCAAATTTCATTTAATTATTAGCTTCCAAGTTATTATCGTTACAAAAAAAAATTGCAATTTTCAAAACCCTCTATCTCAAAAACTAAGCCGTTTCGGACACATGTTTATATAAACTTTTGTTCTTAGAATTGTCTGAGGAACACGTAGATAAATTTGTGCCATGTTGTTTTTCAACACCCTGTATATATTTTTTATTCTATAGATTTTTTATTTTATATATTTGAATAGCGTTTAAAGTTTTCATCGCATAACATTAGATTAGAAAGTTTACTTAAAAGGTTAAAAGTTTGAATTATTCTCCCTTCGATGTAAATAGAAAAATAATTTCGAATTATACCTCTTCGCTTCCTTTCGCGCCTGATCGTCAGCGCGACGAAGGGCTCTCTGCTCGACAAGCAGCCGGTTCCTCCTCCTCAGTTCCCTTCTGATACCGTTGACGTGTGTCTTTCTCAGGTATCCTCTGTACGCGTTGTAGTCGCGCAGCGTGCATTTCACGTGCAAATCCTCTGTGATGAGGTCGGTATTCAGTAGATACTTAATATTAGCCGGTTTGGAAAAAAATCCGAGCAGATGCTCGTCATGTAGGGGTTCGTAGGCGAAGTTGGTTTCGCGGCAGTAAGGGTCGCTCAGATCAAATTCGGCCTTCGGCCCGACCGCCCATAATTTCTTCCCTAATTTGCTTCGCGTTAGATTGTAAGTGTCCTTCGGCGCGTTGGGTATCATGGGTATCTTGTGCTCCAAAGACATAGCTTTCCACTTGGGCAGACCGAACTTGAGCACGGCGATCTTCGGCTTGGCAACCGCTTCGGTTAACATATCCATCTTCCTGTTTGGGAATTTTATTCGCGAATGTTTCGTTTCTTAATCTACAATGTGCTCTTTGCGTTCTGTTTCTTGTTTTCTGTCTTTTTCTGGCTTAAGCCTGATCTACAATATGCTCTTTGCTTCCTGCTTCTTTCTCTTTATCTCTTTCTGACTCAAATCTTAAGCTTTAAACCAGAAAAAGATAGAAGACAAGAAACAAAGAACGCAAAGAGCATATTGTATATCAGGCTTTAAAGCTTAAGGTTTGAGTCAGAAAGAGATAAAGAGAAAGAAGCAGGAAGCAAAGAGCATATTGTATATCAGGCTTTAAAGCTTAAGGTTTGAGTCAGAAAGAGATAAAGAGAAAGAAGCAAGAAGCAAAGAATACATTGTAGATCAAGCTTTACTCTCTATCTTCGCGATTTTACGTGTTAAACGGAGGAAAAAGATATTTTCGGGCCGAAAGATGAGGTGATTAATACTTTCATTTTTGCGATATAGTAATTTGTGTCTTGTTTAATTACGCGCATATATTGAAAACACGTATCTAAATTATTCTCTTAATAATTCTCTTAAGTCTTAATTATTCGATTAAAGGCATAAAAAAACGCTTCACTATATGTGCGAGTTAGACTTGGGAGCTAATTAATATTCGACAGAATAGGTTAATCCGCGAATTTTACGCGAAACTCACGTAATTCTTCGAACGCCAATCATGACGCGCGCCGATGTAGTGCGGATTATTCACGTTGTAAATTTCGAGCGTGGTGACCTTCTCGTCTTTCGCACGCTGTCTCACTGTAATATTTCAAATTTACAAATTTATAATGGTGCACTAGCTACGAATGCTCATTGGAATGTCGCACAAGCGTGCAAATCCTATCATACCTTCATTCAGTTGTTTATATTTTGTTTCATTCAAACTTATCGCGCCAGTGTAAAAAGGATAGATCTAGGACTTCAAAATGGACACGCATTGCTCGGAGAAGGAAGAAGCCGAAATTTGAGAAGTAGGATACTTCCCCCGAAAAAAGTCCCCCGATATCCAAATACAATCTCCCTATTAACTAACGCTTATTGAAGAATAACGCTTATTTGATAAACAGGAAGGAAAGCCCATACAGGATCCTGCATATTACTCGAAAATAACTCTGAGCGATGTCGAGACTATTTTCCGAGGTGACGATGAGGCAGTGAAGATTCCACTTATACACGAGAGAGTTCAAGTTTTGCACGAAGCTGGAAAAGTTTTGTTGAGCAAATATGAAGGTACCAAATAATGACTATAACGCGAAATCGAAGTATTTGCATGCTGCTTTTTTTCATGTTGCTTTTTTTCGTTTGTTCGACACGAAATCGTGCGAGATTTCAGCGATTATCTCAGCAGGAAAATTTAGATAAGGATAATGAGATCTCGTTATGTTGTAGGTACATTCGAAACATGTATCAAGTCGTGCAAAAGATCGGCGATGAAGTTGCTCGACCTGATCATCGGCGAATTCAAGGCTTATCGGGACGAAGCTGTTTACGAAGGAGAGAAAGGTAGCTTTAGATAACACGTAGAAGTTGATTTAATACTGTTTATCCTAGCTGATACGTGCGTGAAATATTATAGAGATTATTTAACCGTATCTTCAGATACATAAATTTTTAATTAACGATTGGCTATCGAGTGCTTTATCGAATGTATTTTACGTAACATAACACGTAAACTCCAATCAACGAATTTTTGTAAATTCACAAAATTTCTAATTTAAAAAATCCAAAAGATTTTTATAAAGCTTTATTGATTTTTCTCTGTTGATGAATGCTGAATAATTTATCGTATAATTGAATCGTAAAATATTACTATTATCTTTATTAACATTTCCTTTCAGTTAGTTTTTACAAAAGGGCTCAGATACTCATAGGCGACATATGGACTTGCTTCAAGGGACGTGGAATCGGTGAATTCCACGATATCAACTCTATCACTATGTTCGCTGATTATCGCATCCCTCAGGTTTTCTTATACGTCAAGGCTTTTCGCTATAGCGATTCACTTCTGAAGAAGCTTCAATCCGGTCTGTCGCTACATCACCTTATTTACGAGCGGCGAATCCTTCGTTTCACCGAATCCCGACTATTTGTGCCGGTGACTTGTGAATTGTGCAGCGTTTTACGAACGGACTCAAGGCTTATCTTAATAAGCACTTTTAGGCTACATCTTTCGCGAAACGAGGGATTCGCCGCGTTTCCACTGAAAACTTTCCGACGAGCCGTGATGATAACATCAGCTACGTTTTTTCAGACGAGCTATTGGAGAACGGGAGCAGAGAAGAGGTGGAGATTCGCGGTTGCTCGATCGAGTTGGTCGAGAGAATATGTGAGGAGGTGGAACGGTTACTCGAGAGCTCAAAGTCATTTCTGCAAACTCCGGAAGCCCAAGAGACTGCGAAGCACGTGAATGCCATCATGATTGATCAATTCCTATGGGACTACCGACGAAGGCATGCCAAGACTATCGATGAACGGAACATACCGTTCCACAAAACGAGATGTATCTATTATTAGAGCGTAGCATGTAGTTATGGATCTTCGAATGATCGTGTTGGCGATTGGATTCTCTTTCCAATAGCTGCTCGCCGCGTCCTATATATGAAAATAATTGAAAATAAATATTTTATTATGAAACATGATGTGAGAGAAAGAGAGGGAGGGAGGGAGGGAGGGAGAGAGAGGGAGAGAGAGAGTGTGTATCGCTGTATTTGGAGATCAGTCTTTGGAGAAGCACACAATCGGAGAGGTCGATCCTGAGACATTCTGCGTGTAGCATTAACTCACTGAAAGGATGCGATCATTCGGGGAATAATCCATCGAGACTACCTCTATGCCTCAACCTTGTTGCATTTATCCTGGGTGATGGAAAGTCGCTTATAAGATTTACGAAACTATGCCATTTTGATTTAATCGATTAAATATTATTTTTTACTACAAACATTCGTCGAATTTCTTCCCCCTATTGTTTCCACTCCGTTTTGATCTATATTTCAAGATGTAGGATCTGACAATATATTTACTCTAATCTTATTTATTTCATTACATTAAACTAATGTATCTATTTGCAATAATATACAAAATCACTGCGAAACTTTCAGTTAGAACTCGGAAAAAAATTCATTCCCATCGCGTATTTAACGTATTGGCAACGCGTGGAAATCGTTAACCCTCTCGACTCTTCTTACAGATGCCGGAAACACTTAATTATTATTTAGAAAAAGATTTTAGAAAACAAACTTCTATTTTTGAATTCGCTCTCTCAATCTTTTGAGAAGCTGTTTGGAGTTGAATATAATTTTGCAATTTTCAAATTTATTCTTATGCATATCCTCTTAAAAATTTCTTAAATAATCTTACTACGTGTCATTTTTATGACACAATTCGGAGTAGAAAGGGTTAGCGCAATCTCTTATCCCGACTCGAAACGCTTTCTTTGGCTATCAACGTATTGCGACGCCTTTTGGCACGAATTTAATCACACTTGCGTGACACCGTTTCGTTGTTATCACACGCGGCGAATCGATCTTATCTGTAGTACGCGTTTACACATCCACAGTAGTGAATCGTAAGTAAATACGTGACGTTCAACTGGGAGAGCGTTCTTCCAGTTAGCGCGTCCAGCGTTAGATCTTACCGTTTTCACTGCCTCACAGTGACGCAAATCGCGACTGGATTTCGCGCGAAAGTTTGATTGTATACTTTCCATACTGTTTGGAAATACGAAAAGTCCTACGTATATACCAAAATAATTCTCAGATGCACTAGATACTAAATCGATACGAATATCTGTAAGACGCACCTCGAGCTTCTTTTTCTTTTACTCGGAATCTCCGAAAAAATATAATTTTTAATCTTGACTGGAAATCACGTTTGTATTCGTTTGACATCGTTATTCTGCTTGCACTTAAAATACTTCAGCTCCATGAATTTTAATAATCGTCGTTTTGGGCTCACGGACGCTGTGATAATTATAATATTTACAATTTACCTTTCTCCTGATATCTCCATTTCGATAATTTTGATTTGCACGTGAGTTAAACTCACACACGAGTTTCTCGTTTCGTGTATCTCATTTCGACCTACAATCTCGTTCTCTCTTTCGGTATATACAAAATCAATTCTATTACGAAACTTTAAATTGCGATTTTATCGAGCGTAAACGTTTGAATTTGCAATATTGAGTAGACGCGATTCAATTTCTCTTTTGCATTTGTTCCCAAAATTTAATGTTTGACTTCAGCTTGCCGGGCGAAATCACGGCGATGTCGCTGTCCTCGCGTTTCGATCGCACGATTTCCATTCGATCGCCATTGGCCGATCGTTCTTCGATAAACGACCGACTGACAGGTGGTGAGGTAATCTTGCTGGGCATTTGACGCAGTCCCTCCCGAAACTCCTTCGACAGTGATCTGGCTGTTAGACTGTGCATTTGCTTGGGCGTTTCGACTATCTGCACCTCGGGCGTGAACGATCTGTCCTTGACGTCGTCCAACTTTGTTACCTACAAAGCGAAAATACGTTGATACGGTTCTTCACGATTAAAGATGTGGTGCTGAAATCTATTTAAAAATATTTAATATCATTCATTTGTCGGTAGAGAAGCGTACGATTTTTATGTATTAGTTTCTTTATAAAATAAAAAAAGGAGCGAATTTTAATGAAAAATGTCATTCTTCTCAAATTGGACCAAAAAGTTCAATTTTTTTTAAATAAAAATTCCGGCTCGAGAAATTATAACTATAACATTTTTCTAACAAAAAATTTTTATATTTTTCCAAATTGAACAATCGTACGATTTTAACCATGTAAACCATGGAGATGCGCACAAGCTGCAGACAGGGACGGAAATGGATGATGTTATGACATCATTTCTTCACACAAAAAGCACAAATGAAATATACTTTTTTTAAATATAACCTTTATATAATTACACATATCAAATTCAAACAATTTCATCTGACAGCTTTTTTAAGACTCCTGGCCCCTCGCATTGTTTATCTCTTTTTAATAAAGTCAGAAGCGAAAAAAAACATGCTAAAAATTCTTGCAAAATACGTTAAAATAAAAATATATAATCATAAAGTAACATTTGTAATCGATTAAACAAATTTGTAAGATATTCCGTGCACTTCCCTTTTGCTCTAACATTCAATCATTTATTGTAAATTAACTTGAATAGAAATAGGCGAAGAAATAGATTAAGAACCCAGTAAACAAATTGAGCGCAGACTGCGCGCAAATTGGCAGCAAATTTGATAAAAAACCCACAGCAAAACCAGCCATCTGTGTCTACATTAGGCCACGGTTTTGGCGACAGATCTTGCTGTCGGGCAATTGGTGCCAAATTTGCAGCTAAAACCGCGTAAAGCTTGCAGCGTAGCAAGGTCTGTGCGGTTTCTGCCGCCAACCTGCCGTCAAATCGCTACAAGCTCTGCGCGGTTTTTGCTGCAAATCTGCAGCAATTTTCCGACAACAAGCTCTGCCGCATATCTGGCGGCAATTTGGCAGCAAGATATGATATAACAGATCCTGCATCAAATTTGTTATCTATTTGCCATCAAAAGTTGATAGCAAGCTCTGCTCGAAATCTGTTCGCGCAGGTTTGGCTATCTGGGAAGATGAATTGTATGTCATGTTAATTTACGAGAAATTATTGATTGTTAGAGCAAAAAGGAAGTGCACGGAATATCTTACAAATTTATTTAATTGATTGCAAATGTTACTTTATGGATATATATTTTTATTTCAACGTATTTTGCAAGAATTTTTAGCATGCATTTTCTCGCTTCTGACATCATTAAAAAGTGTAAGATATAAAGTGAACTGAGGAACGCGGGTGCCATATTGACAAACAAACAATCATATAAAAAGACGAGAGAGAGTGTGTTGGAGCGGGAGCCTGAGTAGCTCAGCGGTTTAAAGCAGTCAAGCGAAAGACCTGGGTTCGAATTCTGGCTCAGCAAACTCTGGTTTCCGATATACTTTTCTCTCCGACTCTTACAAAAAAGATAGACAATGCGAGGGGCCAGGAGCCTTAAAATAAATTCGGAGTATTTGTCATCACTTCAGCCTGAAGAGGCAATTTGCCTTCTAAAGCCTACGGCACACGGTGCGTGTTTTCGTGTTAATCGCATGCGACTTAACCATGCGAACGAACATGCTAGCTACAAAGCTAAAAATTTTGTACACTGCGTGATACTATGCGTGTTAGCTTGCTAGTTTTCGATGATAGGACATGTGCTATTTTTGCTGCGTGTTTTGACGCTAGCTGAGTAAAAGTGCAACATGTCAGAACTAACAATATATGATAGTAGGTAGTTAAATATACATATATATATATATCCAAAAAGTCTTCAAACACTAGGAATTTTCACAGAAAATAGTTTTTTCCGTATGATAATGAGTAATAAACAAATAATCGATTTTACATATAATAAAATCTCTCTTTCGCAACAATATACCATAAACAAAACTTATAAATTAATAAATATTATACTCAAAAACGACAAAAGAACGAAATATGGTAATTTAGTAATGCGCAGAAAATGTTCGTACAACACAATATTCTGATTAGAAACAAAGCAAAATGAAAAAAACAAAATCATATTAATACTTTGTAGGATACTTTTAGCTTTTATAATAGCTTGTAGACGTTTGGGCATAGAATGAACCAATTTGGATGTGTCAGATGCTGTAATTGAGTTCCACTCCTCTTGTAGTGCTTGTCTTAAGTCATTCTTGCTTGAAATATATCTTTTTCTTATTTTATTTTCTAAAAGGCTCCACAAATGTTCTATAGGATTTAAATCAGCTGATTGGGGAAATGTTTTCAGCTGTTTAGATGTGTTATATAAAATCCATAATTTAGTATTTGTGGCTGTGTGCTTGAAGTCATTATCCTGTTGAAATATGAAATCATTTGGGAACGCCATTTTTTCGGCACTGGGAGATTATTTTTCAAAATATTTATATACGCGCTTTGTGATCCATAATACTATCGATGAAATGTATATTTCCTATACACCAGAAGCACTCATGCAGTGGGTACAAATTTACAGTGGATATCAAATTTTTCTGCTGAAGCTCAGCATTTTCCTGATGCCAGACCTTTTGGTTTCCGTCCGATCCAAATAAATTGAACTTGCTTTCATCCGTAAAAATGACCTTATTTCAAAATTCTAGAGGTTTTGTTTGGTACTCACGAGCGAACTGTAAACGCTTCTTGCGATTGGTCTCATTAATCCAGCACTTCTTTCTGGCTACTCGTCCATGGTATTCCTCTTTGTGTAATATGTTCCTCACTGTATTTACAAAAACGTTGACTTGTCTCTTCAGCAATTCCGCAACTATTATGGGGGCACTAGTTTTCGGATCTTTTTTAATTTGACGTATGACAAATAGCCTGTCGTTGTCCGACAAGACAGACGGGCGTCCGCTTCTTGCACTGTTTTTTATTATTCTGGTCTTGCCAAAGCGGTTAATAATACTCTGTATTATAGAACGCAGTCTTCCAATTAGTTTTGATATTTCATTTAATGACTTGCATTGATTATGCAGCCTAATAATAAATTGTCTTTCCTCCGCGGTAGTCTCGCTTCTTGTCCGACCCATTTTCACCAAGTAGAGAACGACTGTGAAATTTCGCGTCAATATATAAAACTGAACAAGGCCCAAATATAAATAGACAAGGAATGTAAACATACGATGTATGTGTTCCTTACCTAAGATAAGGTTTTTACCACAGATATCATTGGTGTACGAACACTTTCTGCGCATTACTAAATTACCATATTTTGTTCTTTTATCGCTTTTGAGTATAATATTTATTAATTTATAGGTTTCTGATTATTCGTTTCTGGTATATTGTTAAGAAAGAGAGACTTTATTATATGTAAAAACGATTATTTGTTTACTATTTATAATAAAAATAAACTATTTTCTGTGAAAATTTCTAGTGAAAGACTTTTTGGACTCACTGTATATGTGTGTGTGTGCGTGTGCGTGCGCGCGCGTGTGTGTGTGTGTGTATTCCGTACAATAATTTATTTGTGTAATGTAATTTTTGTATAATTATATGTATATACGTATTGTATATAATAATTACTTTTAATATTTTTTATAGTAATGGAAGTTGCAAGAAAAAAAATTGACTGCAATAACTCTTTTCTTATTAATAGAAAGAAAAGAAGAAATAAAGAAGATAAAAGAAAAATTTGGGCTAAAATGTCGGTCTTAAGTCGGTATAAAAGGTACAACTTAGTGTAACTAAAAAGAACAGATCTCATGTGAAGCGAAAACTAGCAGCATTGCTATCTTATCAGCAACACAGTCTACGCAACACAGTCCATAGCGCAGCGCGCAAGGAATCTATTAGCTAAACTAGCAGCAAAACACGCACCGTGTGCCGTAGGCTTTAATCTAACCGAATATTTTTTCAGTCTATATTGTTCGCAACTAAGTATTTCTGGTTATGTACACTATTTCTTGTTTTTTCCATGTACACTGAGAGAAAATTACAGTTGTTTTCGGCGTTAACTATACTTTTTTTGTGATTTTAACCACAAAAATTTAGTAAGTGTTATTAGAAAGATGGTTTTTCTAACTATTTTTATGGTTAAAATCACAAAAAAGTATAGTTGACGTCGAAAGCAACTATAATTTTCTTTCAGTGTAGAAAAAATTGTTGTTTCATTGATTACCAAAGTTTTGCTCGTCTTCGCAGGCACCCACTCGGTGACAGAGGGTTGTCTGCCGCCGAAGGCCTCCGCGAGCCTCTTCACGGACGGCATGGGCAACTTCTCGCTTGGTCCACGTAGCCGATCCTTGTCTTCGATATAGATATCCTCGAAGGACCTGTCCAAGTCGGACGGGGCTTTGTCGTCGCCATTGAGCGAGCCATCCGCATTGGTCGAGTCGCGTACGTCGACTCCTTTATCCGACTCGCTGACGCGATTCAGCGAGTTCTTAGCGGCAAACTTGTCCTTCTCGTCGTCGTTGTCGTTGTTACCGTCGTTGTCGTCGTCGTTGTTGTTGACACGAACCGGGTTCGCGTAATAGTACGCGTCGTCGGCTACGTTCGGCATCGACTTGGCCGACACGAGCGAGCCGACCTTCACCACGTCCTCGTGCAGCTGGTTCAACTCCCCCGAGCTCTTCGTCAAGTCCCCGCGGTCGACTGGGAAGACCTTGTACTCGGAGCGACTCTTCTCGCGGTCCATCACGCACCTCGTCAGATTCGACTTCTCGTTGTTCGCCGGCTGGTCCAACTGGTTGTTGGAGCGTGCGCGACGCAGACCGTCCTGGTAGCCGAAGGACCTCAAGTCCAGCCTGTTGACGACTCGCTGTTGCTGCGGTCGCGCGGTTCTCGCTACCGAGAACTCATTCTCGAAGCCGTACGCCTTCAGGTCGATCCTTCGAACTTGCCCCTGCTTCTCGTCCTGCCGCTCCGCCTCGAGACCGTGCTCCTGGTTATTCAGCTTCGCGTTGATCTCATTCTTGCTGTTCTTCCTCTGATCCTCCAGGATGTCGTCCGCGCGTCGCTCTTGATCCGTCCCGTCGACGGAAGCGCGCGGATTCGCGGCGCGATTGTTCGTCGTCTCGAAGCTGATCATCTCGGCATTGTTCCTCCGCCACGTGGACATCGTCCTTGCGTGTTCCTCTCGCGACATCGACACGTCGTCGGTTTCTCCGGACATGACTTCATCCTGGAACACACCAAAGACCGGCTGACGTTAACTATTTCGCGTTGTGATCGGCTTCGAAGCTCTGTGTATTTCGCCGTCGAACGCCTCTTTTCCCTTTTCTTCATTTCTTTATCTCCTCTTTGTCCTTTCTGATTGTCTCGTCTCGTTTGCCAAAAGATCGACACGCCTCCGTTTCATTTCCCCTTTCTCTCTCGCGCTTCTTTCTCCTTCGTAAGATTCACATTATTGTCTGATATTTAATGACGATATTCTATAGCATGAATTTCATATTCTAACGCAATAATAATAACATCAATAAAAGTATCAATTCTCGCGCGAACACATGCCTAATCCTAGATACTCTTACTGTTTTAGTCTTTAAACATGAATACATTTAATCTTTCAGCATAGAATACATGTATATATACATTTTTATTCTATTTTATTGTATAAATGTATATTGAAAGTTTAAATATTCGTATTTAAAAGTTGAAACAATAAAAATGTTTAGGATTAGATACATCAGAAGAATATTGATACTTTCCCAAGGCCGTTAGACGTTAGCAGGAATGTTTTACGTTAGTACGACAATTAATACAATCCGCAATATCGCTTATGTTTAAAGAAAAATCAACAACTGCCACTCAACTGTACGAACACATATCGGTTATGGCTTTGGTGGACCGGAAGCTTTGTCTCTAATAAGAAACTGCAAATACGTTATTTTTATATACGAATTTTCAAGCTTTTTGCAGCATTAGATAGAAAAGAGAGAAGCGATTCGTTATTCTGCATACGCGGCGAAGGATTTTTAGCTGTTTTTTTTATTTACGCAAGTCTGTTTTGCGGGTGAAGCTCCGCGAATCGATATAGCTTGGGTAAAGCATATTAGCATTTACGAGTTAAAGAGAAGCACATTCGTGTTAATTACCATTGAATACATCGCACAGTTAAAATATTATAAATCTAGGTTGATGATGTCAGTTAATATTACATTAGGCAGTAGATGTGTATTATCGATAGCGATGTTAGTATTGCTGGGAAGTTATTCCTCGTATTTATTGCTGCGGCTCTCGCGGGAGATACAACGACGACAGATTCAAGAGAGATTTCGCCGTCTTTACAAACATTTCAAACACATCTCGATACATTCAGTTGTTAGTCACCACATATCACACGCATGTAAATATTGCGGTACTTACCGATTCTAAGAGTGCTCTCTTTTTTGCAGCTCGTGTGCACGGATTCGATTAGCATATCTCACGTATCTTTTGTGCGAAATGCGAAATCGTCGAAAATGATTAGATTACGATTGGAACGTCGTCGTCGTCGTGATATCTTTTTACGCAGAAATGAGAAACACACACACTCTTCGCAAAATTGGCGTGAGCGTCGCTATAAAAAACATTACGAAGAATTAAGTTTATGAATGGTATACGTCGCGCTGTTAATATACGCGGTGAGAAGATCGATCCTTTACTCTTTTCTCTCTTTCGTTTTCGCATGTTGATTTAGGCTCTCGCGCCCGAGAATTCCTAAGTTCTGAATATTGATTGGGAATGTTCGAGCGTTTGTACAGACGTGTCTTTAATCGCGATATTGTTCGGGCGCTGGAGATTTATCTGCACCGTCAGCCGAAAGTTTCATGTTTATGAGTAGCACGGTCAATCTTTCGGAAACCGAAGAAATATGTATTCTCTTACTCTATGATACTTTCTCTAAACGTTTTCTCCAGCGAAAATCCTACGTAACCTTCTCGCACTTATCTGCAATATAAGTATTGATTATTTGTATAATCTGATCTTTCACATTAAATCGATTGCTAAGGATGTTAGAACGAGAATTTTTACTTATACGTTAACTTTACGTTAACGTCGTTTTTCATTTGTCGCGCACAAAACGCTCCTGAGACGTGACCTTTAACCCTTTAAAGCGCATAATTCATAGAACATTCTAGTAACTTTTTTTAAATGAAATATTGTCAAAAACACTCTAAATATCACATTAATAAGGTTTCAACCAACCGATTCTAAATGGTCCCTATTGGTACCAGTGATACTCAACCTTTAGCTGGCACTTCGGGATATCAGAAGCGCCAGCATTTTAGTGAAAATAGTCATTTCTTCGTTTTTGTTTACGTTCTCGAATTTTTTTTCATACTCAATATTACATTTTATCAAAATAGCCTATGACATCTTTTAAGTCGATATTTGAAAACTATATTGGAATTTTTTCAAGCGAAAAAATCAAGTTTCCACACAGCAAACATTTTAGTGATTGGGGTCTCAAACAGCCCAGTGTGCCAGCTATGTGATTATGGTGAAGTGTGCCAGCTAAGGGTTAAAGGGTTAAACACGAGGTAATTTCAGAAATCTGGATTGGCCGATGTGAAATTCAGCGGGAGAATCAGCGTCACTCTTTCTCTCTCTCTCTCTCTCTCTCTCTTTCTTTCTGTGTGTGTATATGTGTGCGATGTGAACTTCTTATTTTTCCATACCCGTATTTATTTGCCACTTGTGACTTTATAAATATGATCCCTTAACTGTTAATATCACGCTTACTTGTAAATTGACGCATCGCGTCATGGCACGTGGTATTTCTCACTTCCCAAGCACAGCTATCGCACCGAAAGGTACATGCACAAGTATATCAACACGTGTATAACAATTATTAACATTATTATTAACAAAACCACGCAACCGCGTTAATTCGATTACGCCCGGCGACTTTTCGCCGGGACGTGTAAGTAACAACACAAGATCCCGCGCATTCGAAATTTCTAATTAGAATAGTAACTAGAATAGTAATTAGAATAGAATAATGAGCCTCTCTCGGTGAAAACGAAATCTGTTTCGCGCTAATCAGTTTCCTTCGCGAACTCCTCGCGACATACTGAATGTGGCTTCGCATTAATATTCCTCGAGCGTTTTCTCTCCCGATTCAGTTCCGCGACGTTTCTTCATCAAAGAACGATGAGAAAAGTTGGGGCTCCGCTGCGCGACAAGATGTCACGTGCTTAAAATATATATAATGTTGATGCAAAAGTTTTGTCGTGTTCGTCAAACGAAACGAAGTCCAATTTCGAACAGTTGGTAATTTTCACGAATATAGGAACAACGTTGACTCGGTATTTTTTTACACATCTAACGAGGACTTCCTATTTTCCTTTTATGATCATCTCAATTTTGTGATCACTCAAAAAAATGTTTTGCTGATCCAGCTAGAGTTCTAGATGTTACGGTTAAAATTTTATCACTGTTTTCTGTATCTGTTAGAAAATTGTCTGTGGTATGTATAATTATGAAATTCTAACATCTGCAAGTAAACTTCAATGGATGTGAGGGTTATTCATTTGTTAGTCTCTCGCCGCTAGTCCTTTTTGTCTACTACGGTCAATTTTTATGAGACTGACTTTGGACGTTACAGAGAGACTTCCTCGCTAAATTTTATAAATGGTTTAGGTAGAAATTTTGTCTCTGTCATCTGTATGGAATACAAAACATACACGAGATATCGCGCTTGCTAATCATTTAACCTACATATCTTAGCTAATTTCTCATATCCAGATAGTTTTCGTTATAAAAAGTCATTTTTTGAGTGATCCAAATGCGAAATTAGATAGAAACGAGAACTTGGTAGAAAAGTGACACACAAATCTTTTGCATCAACCTAATGACCCCAAGATAATTTCAAGGTTCGAGGATATACTCTATATTTCTAACGTGATATTATTCATCCGTGGCGATGATATGTCACGATGATTAGTATCCCTGTGCATCCCTGGATCTTCTCATCATCGCAGCAATTCCTGGTTATCGTCACCATATCGTGACGTTGCTCAAACTCCTCACGTCCGTCTTGTCGCGTCGCCTCTTACTATCATTCTTGCGTTCCCGTGCTCGACGAGAACCTTTCAAGCTCTCCGAGTTCTTCTCGTTGTTCCCGCTCGTTGATTTCTCCAATTTCTCGTCGGCATCTTCCTCAGAGATCTCTCGACGCCTTCGAGACTTAATTCTCTTGCCTCGCGACGTCGCAACGTCGTTGCTGAACGCGCACGCTTTCCTCCTCTTCGAGACGTCCCTGAGAAATTTATCCATTATGATCTTGCCGGCCGCGCTCGTTAAGGACGACGAATTCGCGTTCTTTCTGCAAGTCGCCGCGGCAAACCGTTCGTCCGCGACGTTGTCCTCTTCGTCCTGCCAATCGCTCTCCTCGAAAGCGGAGCTCGTCGAGTGCTCGAAGCTCGAGGAGCACAGTGGATGCTCAGGACGCTCCTCGCCGACTAACCCTTCCGGCTGGACTCGGCTCGAAGAGCTTTTTCCTGCGGCCTTGGGCGGAATCTTTAGCCTCGGTCGTATGCGCCTGCTCCTCCTGATCCCGCCAAAAGTCTGATACTTGAACCTGACGAATTCCGGCGCGTGATCCGATTGCGCGAGCCGATCGTCCGGCGCGGCCGTATCGTCGTCGAGGTCGTCGAGGTCCTCAAGATCCTCGAGATCCTTCGCCGGTCTCTTGAGCCGCATCTTGATCCCGCCAAAAGTGTGGTATTTATGGGCGGTGATCCAGAACTTCTTGCCGCCGACGGAGGAGATCTGATCGCCGTTCTCCAACGGCTGCCAACGATCCACCTCCGAAACGACCTCCGAGTCTCGCGAGCCGATCGAGCACATGCCGGAGTCGCGGTCACCCGGTGATCCCTCGCGACTGTCGTGGTTGTACCGCGGCATTATCGGCTCCTCGACCTCGATCCAGAGTCTTCGCAGATCCGCGACGTTCTTTCCTTCCGGGGAACTCGCCGTTGCCGACGTCGCCGCGGAACTCGCAACTGATGGGTTCGACTCGTCGCTCACAGGTGATTGCGCGGCTTCCAGGTGCAGGAGGGGGTTGATCGCGAAATGCGAACTGGCGCGGGGGTCGCGGCAGCGTCGCCTAGGAAGGCTGCTGTGCAGCGAAGCCGCCTCGAATCGCTCGAGCTCGTGACTCACCTGTCGTTCGCGTTGCTCGTCGCCGGCGCAGCTCGACCGCTGGGACAGCGAGCTGCTCGGTCTGCTCGACGAGGACATCGCCGACCTGGCCCGCTCCGATCGCTCCCCGCTGGCCACCTTCGACTGGTTGATGTAGTAGTCCCTGCCGAACCTGTTCGACCGCAACACGGGAAAAAACAAATCCGCAACTGAATTTTTTGTTAGCTGGAAGATGAAAAACCCACTTGTCGGGACACAAGAATTCCCGTACAAGAATTACGTTCCTATTCAGCCAATTGCTTTCCATCACATCAACTGAATTCTCATACAGTTGAATGTTCAGACGAATGTTTTCGGTCATGATAAGAAAGATATTAATCCTCGTCAGTGAGTTTTTCGCTTGATCTCCATTGAGTTACCCAAATATTTGTTCCGTCGATGAATAATAATTCCGATTCGTGAGGATATAATGGATGACTTCGTCTAGATTTTTCTCTTACGCAATCAACGATTTTTTCATTGCATACACTGAGAGAAAAGTTATCTTAAAATCAACAAATATTTCCTTGGATGCCATTAACATATTTACTTAAATCTACATTCTCTTTACTTAAATCAAATATTGTTTACTTGATTTAAATAAACAATATTTGATTTAAGTAAAGAGAATGTAGATTTAAGTAAATATGTTAATGGTACCCACCAAGGAAATATTTGTTGATTTTAAGATAATTTTTCTCTCAGTGTATGCAAACATATCTTTGTACGGAGAAAATGTTATAGTAAAAATTGGAATTAAAAATTATAGAATTTGGGAGATTCGATAATCTTATTAAAGTCGGAAAATTTAAAGAATTTTAGAATTTGAAATTAAAAATTGTAAAAATGTATAGAAAACATTAAAAAATGAAGTTATAGAAAATTATAGAATTTTATAACTAAGGAATTGATTATGTGTGCAGTAATTGATTATCCTTTTATTTCGTATGTAACTACTTATTATTTTAGAAACTTAAATATTTGCTATATTACGAAAATTTGCTATCTTTTCAGCGAAATTTACTATGTTCCTTAACAAGATAGGTCCCATGCTAACAAATCTATTTTTGCGTTATTGTAGAAACATATTTAAAATTGAAAAGAATTTATATGAAAAAGAACTATAATATTCTTTCCGTACATATTATTCGATTTCTTTTCACATTCTATACCGTTTCCTTTGACTCAGCGTTAATAATTAATTCCCGAGAATCGCGAAAGACGCTAAGCGAGCAATCAAGTTGTATGAAAGAAGATTAAACAAGCGGAAATGTGAAGAGTGCAAAGTTTCGCGTGAAAAAACCCGCGTTTTTACAACTTAAGAAGTTATACGGTCGTTAGAATTGTCGAGTTCAAGTGATAAAATTTTCACATTTCTGCTTCTATAGAAAGTTATATATATAATTGCTAAAACAATTCTATATAGTTGCTAAAAAGCTCTAAACTTGTTCATCGGGTGCATCACCGATGCAGCTTTTCGCCGAATTAATCGTGCATCCGATTATTTTCCTATCGATTTTCCTGTATCGCGACGCGACAATTGATTGAATCCCAAGGAAATCAAAATGAAATTACCGTTTGATGTCCGGTGGATCGGGTCCAAGCACGTCCAATTGCACGTCGTTCAGCTTCTTGATCTCGTAGTGAACTCTAAATAACAGAACGATCGGCTTAGCTATGAGCTGATGGAGCTAGTCTTTCGCGATTTTTCTCGTTGCTGCATTCTTACCCCGAGACGTCCGCGGATTTTCGCGAATATCGCCTCTCCCAGGATCGTTTTCGTATGTTTTCCTCGCTGTAGGGGTTGTTCTCGATCGGCGGCGCGTTCTCCCACTTCTTGTGCTCACGTTCCGCTATTGTGCCTGCCGGATACATTTTTGTTCACACAACTATGCTCGCGTGTGTGAGTTTTATCTCGAGGACTCTTATTGCCAAGAGTCGCCGCGTTTTCCTTTTGTATTGCACACTTCGAGAAAAATGTAATCGCGGTCAACACGCTATTCCTCTTATGACGTAATCGTTCATAGAGATCAGAAGTTTCCTTCAAAATAAACGCGTTTTACATTTTCATTGTATGTTAGCCGTAATAATTCTTTTCATCATTCTTCTTGTGAAATTTCGATTTAGCGCCGATCTCGATTAATACAATTCTGCATTAAGAAGATAATATGAAATCTTCATCGCTCTCTCTTCTGTTCAAGTACTGCAAAGGAGTGTGCGCTTGCACACGCGCGCGATCATATGCAAGTCCATTTTATACTGAATATTATACCATATGTTATACTAAACACATTTATACTGAATTACCTGGGCGTGGTGGGCCACTTAATCGATCTTCCTCGGCGGTCGTATCAACGTGGCTCTTGCTCGTTGCAGAAATTAATTGGACTTTGGCTTCCGAGCGTTCGCTGTATAAAATTGAAAAAAAGATTATAAAAAACGTACACGTGCCAGCGAAGCGATTGCAAAAATTGCATAGTTGAATTCAAGGTAACTTCGAGTGAATCGAAAGACACGATATAGAAAGAAACACACGCAATAATCGAGTCATGCACGGAACAACAATATATTATATCGTCTCCATCTTCTCTTGCGTTTATTTCAAGTGAAGTTTCGTCTCGTTAGTGCTTGCTATAACCTAAACTAACGTAAATTGGATGCGTACACGAAAACATTCCAAAGTGAAGATCGAAAATGAAGTCCGGGATCTTGCAGACTCGAAAGCAAATCGAAAAATCGAGTCATTTCCCAATTCTCCATTTTCCTTTTTTTTTTCTTTCAACTGGAGGTGATTTTGTAATAGCTTTATCGCGTTCATCATCAGGATCATCAATGTCATCGTGTATAATTGATTGGTTACTCGGAGGAATAATAACGATCGAAAATAAAATTCAGAACCTTGCAGAGTCGGAGACAAATCGATAAAATAAATCAATCCTTTCCATTTTTCATTTGATTTTTTCTTTTTTCATTTCTTTTTTTTCTTTCGACTGGAAGTGATTTCGTGATAGCTTTATCGTACTCAGAATTATCGATATCATTATGTATAATCAATTTTTAGTGTACTCAGAAAGCTACTTTCTCGCTTGCTCTTACTATTGCTTTTATTATTTTAGATACACGTCGTTATTCAAATTAACGTTATCATCATTGATGTATTCTTTCTTGCATAAACGATTAAGCTTAATTTACAATGTGCTCCTTATGTCCTGTTCCTTTCTTTCTATCTCTTTCTGACTCAAACTTTAAGCCTAAAGCTTGATCTATAATATGTTACTTGTTTCCTGTTACTTTTTCTTTATCTCTTTCTGCCTTAAACCTTAAACTAAAAAAAGACAGAAAACAACAGGAAGCAAAGAACATATTATAGATCAGGCTTTAAGCCAGACAAAGACAGAAAACAAGAAACAGAAGAACACATTGTAGATCAAACTTTAAGCCTAATCTACAATATACTTTTTGCTTCCTGCTTCTTTCTCTTTATCTCTTTCTGACAAACCTTAAACTTTAAACCAGAAAAAGACAGAAAACAAAAAACAAAATGCAGAGAGCATATCAGATTTTAGTCCTTGATTGCAACATAACAACAGAAAGTCTCACCTCTTTTCTTCTTCGTCTAATTTGTCTTCCAATTTCTCGGGCTGCTTCTCCGTGAGTTCTCCCGTTTCGTCGGCAGGTTCACTCTCTCCGCTATAAGCATCGACTTTCGTCAGACTATCCAGGTGTCTTTGGATCGCAGTGTCGTAGTGCTCGGTGTACTCGCTCTCTCGTTGCTCTTCGCCTTCGTCGGCGACATTCCCTCGGTCGCTCCTTTCGCTCGACTTTTCCAGTTGCACTTTTACGTTCTTTTGCATGGAACTTTCCACCGCAGTTGCAATTGTCCTCTCGCCGTGCTCGGCGGTATCATTCGTCGGCTTCTCTTTGGTCTTGCTCTCTTCCTCTTTTGTCCCCGTTATCAATGTCGGCGAACTTTCACTCGGTCCCTTCTTATCATCCTCATCCTCGACCACTTTCTCTGCTGCGATCTCCTCGGCTTTCGTTTTCCTTCGGCAAACATAGTCAACCTCATCCTCAACGAGTTGCATCGTGTCGTTTGGCACTTGATGATTTTCCACGTCGCACTCGGAAGTCCTGGGGCTTCTCGGGATTACGTTGTCGATCTCCATCAGCTCCTTCTCGAATTCCTCGTCGGACTTGGTAGAAGAGCACTCGGATAGGTCGGACGTGTCCTCAGCGTCTCGGTCGCCGATCAAAGCTTTGTAGCACGTGTTGGAGCTCGGCACCAACATTGCGACCGCGTCCGGCTGCGATCGAGCACTTCTTTTCTTCTGGAACAACCAGTTGTCTTCCCAGGACTCAATGGGCGAGACTAGATCCATTGTGTGTTCAGTGCGATATTTGGTCTTGATTTGCGAGAAACTCTCGTTGCGATCCGAGCTCGAGGAGTCCGACGACGGTGATGACAATTCTCGCGGTGCTGCTTCACACAAATGTTGCCGTGACTCAGAGGGACTCATATTTTGTTGATAATTATTGTTATTATGGTTATGAACTTTGAGTTTTTTAATTATAAAGAAATTAATCTGTGTTTGAGAAAATGTCGACAATTCTCACACTGAGAAAGAAAAAAAAATGTTTGATATTTGTAACTGTGATCGCACAGAAAAATAATTATTATAAATTATGGTCAAAAAAACTATTTTTTAAATTAAATTCTACTATAATGTTAATGGTAAAGATCTTATATATGCATTCATTTTACTACAAAAAATATGGATAAAACGAAAAGAAATTATAATTTTCATAAGATCAATTATTTTTTTCTTATGCATAATATTGTTTGACACACACACACACACACACATATATATATATATATATATACATATAAATAATTTTTCTAGATATTTTGTATGTAAAACAGATATCTTCTTTTTACAATTATAAATATAGTTAAATATAGTTTCTACTATAATAATAATAACAGCACGCAAAAGTGTTATAATTCGCTTTAAATGTGTTGTAAATCTCATATATATATATATGATTTATAAATATATGAAAGCGAATTACAATACTTTTGCGTGCTGTTGTTGTTATTATTATATTATATATATAGTACACGGAAAAAAAGATTTGGTTGAATTAACCAAATATCTGGTCGAATATGAACGATTCAGAAATTCCGATTGAAGTAACCCGAATTCTGTTTAAGTTAACAAGATTTTTGGTTGACTTAAACAGAATTCGGATCGGAATTTCTGGATCGTTCATATTCGACTAGATATTTGGTTAATTCAACCAAACCTTTCTTTCCGTGTAAAAACTATATTTATAATTGTAAAAAGGAGATATCTCTGTTTTACATACAAAATATCCTGAGAAATTTGCGGTCACTTACGGTCAACGATATCCATCCCGAACTCCGGGAACGGCACGCGCCGAGTGCATCCGTATTCCAAGACATCGTTCTCAGCAGGTTCGTCGTCTGACGTGATCGTAGTCACCTCCTCTATTCGCTCTTCCATCTACAACGAAATTTTACCTCCTTAGGACTTACGCAAGCTCGATGAAAGGCTCTTTAAATTTCTTCGAGTGAAATTCCACTCGAAAAGTGGAGTGACAGCCGAGTCATTCGAAATCGGATGACTTCTTATTCGTGCAAAGTGAATACTTCCATCCTTAATTGTCATTGTGTGAGAGAATATTTCTCACTCAAAACTGAATCCAGAATTTGAATAGGTTTCTCCAGTCTTATTCTTTGATTTACAAATATCTAGTATTCCGATAAAATAACATGCAAAAACGAAAGGATAGGCAATTTCTCTCTTTCTTTACTCTTAAAAGATTAACATAAGGTCAAAATTTCGATTGGGTTATGTACCATGTAGGACACCGGTTCCTGATGATCTCCATTCTGCCTGATCGACGCGTCACGATTGCCATTGCACTCGTAGCTCCTCACGTCTTCGCCAATGCCACACTCGCTCTCGGCTAAAAAAAGAAATGTCGTTTCCGTGAACATGTTTCCCCGTATGTTGTCGCGTGTACCGTACTCGATGCGCGATAACACGTTAAGTCAATTCTACGCACTGGAAGTGTATTTTGTCTTGGACGGTTCCGTGATGTGCAGAACGTTGCTGTTGCCATCCACTCGTTCTCGTTGCAATCTCTCGATGACCTGAAGTGTGCGCATTAGATCTGATTAAACAATTCGTTTTTTTTTTTTTACATAGAACACAGCGCGCGAATTTTCGCATAATCAGTTTGAAGTTCACGATTAAACAGCATGAATAATAATTGATAGAGAGAGAAACGCTTTTATTAGTCTAGATTTCACACACGCAAACAACCTTGTTGAGTATCGCGGTAGCGAGAAGATCCTCGTAACTGTGGTCCGCGATAGCGCGTCCTTCTCGAGACTGCTCGCCATCCTCGGACGTGTTCAGTCCTGGTAATTTGCGAGCTTCCTCGACAGCACGCTCGACGATCTCTCGGAGTGCTGCGTGAGCCATTGCTGGTGAATCCGTGGATCGCTTGTCTGCGACATTAAACAGAAGCGACTATTAGTGAGCGATGCTCGTAACTGTCAGGTGCATCAGACACCTCGACACGCACGAAAATTTAAGCGGCAGAAGTGTGATAGTAAACACGGAAAGAATTTTATAGGAAAAATTGCTGTAAAATTTTGTAACTGAAGAACATATCGATATTCTGGCTACACTCTTAATCGCTTCATATGTGCTGTTCATAATTTTATTACTGAAAAGTTCCATATATGCTATTTTCTATGTTTAAAAACTGAGAAGTCTACTAATAAAAAAATTTACTACGCATGTTTCTTTTGAAAAAACTAACTGTATTCCTCAAAGATGAACTCCACCGACAATCTATTCCTGCACTACACTGTTAAATCCGTAGTATCAAATTATACTCAATTTGAGTTATTTTTAACCATTCCTATAAGTCGCCACTGCTCCTACTAAATATGTCGTTAATTTAACTAATATAATGGAGTTAAATAATTTAACTTAAGAAATATATTAAATTTGACTAAAATTTAGTTTATTTTTTATTATATGCACGTTAATGTAACCTTTGTTTTAGTAAAAAATGACTTAATATTGTTTTAAATGGGTTGATTAGATGTGGTTGTTTTTTTAAACACATGTTTTGTATTAAAATAATAAATTTTGACACACATGATAGTTAAAAATAACTAAATATTATTTCAATATTAACTCAAGAAATTGGTTTAAATTTGACCCTCCAATATTAAACAGTGTACAGAGGAGCTTGATCAAATTCACAGGAATTTCTATGAAAAAAAAAATGCTATACAATATTCTCTTCATGTAGCCAAGGTCAGCTTGCTTACCATTTCGATTCTACCACTTACATTTTCGTAATGTACCGTTTAATTGAAGATGGCTAAGACTAATCGAAGGCTCTACGAAGAAAACGCCGTGAGACACGTCTCCTTCAATTCAAGTACATAATGACTACATAATGACTACATAATGACTATATTCTGGACACGTGTGTTCCCCGTTTCAAGTACACAGCGAACTACGTTCTCGTTTCACGCAACATTCTAAATAAAACCACGTTGTTAAGAGGAACGCCTTTTGTTAAGAGTACGTTGCAAACACGCAAGAAAACCCCCGCTCGACTCGGCAATCATACGATTTGCTCGAAATTCCGCCTCAAATTACGCGTGTCTTATTCCGCACGACACTCTCCGCCGTTTCTCGAGCACTATCCACCCTGATCGGTCGCAGTTTCCGCGGGAAGCTTCGAGAGCGACTGTCGCCGCGGCGGCTTGAACGTGGACACGAGCGAGCGTACCTGTGCAGACCTTCACAAACGGCTTAGGAGCGGTAGCTACGCACTCTCTAAAGTACAATCAGCATATTCTTCACTGAAATGCTTATAACTGAGTGATTTAGTTATGAGTATAGCACGGATCGATTAATACACGAAGAGAATATTATAGTCTTCTTTCATATATAAATTTCTAGTTTTACCATATTTTTTTAGTAGTTTTTAGGAATAAACTAGAGGTCTATCTTGTTAAGAAACATAATAGATTTTGCTGAAAACAGCAGATTTCGCTAGGAACATAGCAAATGTTTTTTTAACAGCACATTTGCTAAAATATAAGTAATACATATGACACGAAAGAATAGTATAAATTGCTATGAAATGTCGACCTGTTCCTCGGTTACAAAAACCTAAAGTAACTTTTGCTATAAAATTCTCTTCACGTAACAACTGTTTTTGACTTATTGATGTAATTTGCAAACACAGACAGTGTTTGCACGCGAATCGCATGGAGGCCGTTCGGTCCGTAAATGAAGAAAGTTGGACTTGACACAACGAATTCGTGTACTGCAGATTTCGCAGTGAAGTCTTTACTTACACTGGTCGAGAAACTATTCAAATAAGATACAAGATGGGACAGTTAAGTGGGACAGAGAATTTCACTGAAAATATCTGTGAATATACGCCGATTGTCGGTGTGAAATACTCCTTTTACCGATTCAACCAGAATCATTCTTACTGATTCCACTTAAAGAGAGTAGCGTGGCATAGAACGGAGCGAGCAGAAACGTCGGCTGCAGACCGCACTTTCTTCGACATCCAGCCGCTAGATCCAGTCGTTATCTATCAAGACTAACGACGACACACACGCGGTCGCCGTATCTCCGTCGCAATTTCTCCGCGGCGACCTTGCCGACGATTCATGCCCGTCCTTACGCGGCACGACCACTCCTCGCCGTCAAGGCTCTCGCAACTCTATCCTGTCCTTCTTTTTCTCGCTCTCTCTCTTTCTCTCTCTCTCTCTCTCTCTCTCTCTCTCTCTCTCCCTCCCTTCTTTCTTCCCTCGAGCACGAGCAGCTCGCCAGCCGTGGATCGCGGCCGCCAGGTGAAATTCGCCGACCTCCTGAACTCTTTCCGCGGGAAACTCGACGTGCGCGCTCCTCGTCGGCGGCTCGGCACCGTCCGGCGATTTTTACCGCCGTCCCTACGTGAAATCCCCGTGGAGGAGATTCTCTCGCCGGAGAAGCACGGGTGATCGATGACACCCTGCCGCGGGCGACGCCGAGCAATATTATCCGCACGAATCAACACGTCGCGTGCTAAGCGCAAACTACTCGGCCCGTCTCATGCCGCCACTTCTCTCGTACACGCATAATCGATCCGCGACGCGCGCGAGATGTATCTCTCCACCTTCTCGAGACCGTCTAGCCTTGATCTCACGGCAGAAGGTGAAGGCCGGCTACAGGTATTTCCCTCGGCGCGCGATCCGCCTCGGACACGCAGAAGAGATCTCGTGTCTCTTCTTGTCGAGCGAAGTCGCCCCCTTCTCGACATTCGTTTACGCCGACCGCTGGCCTTCGATCCGTCTTTTTGCGTACGGTCGCGTGTTCGTGGCGTCACGCGGATATGAGAATGATCATCGCGAATCAATTATGAGCGATGATCAAGTCTTGCTGTTGAGTCTTGAGTCGCGCCGTCCGTCCGACACGCGGGGGGGATATTCGATTTGAAGGTGACGTTCGATCGTCGTCAGGCAATCGTGTGTTATTACGTTGAAGCGAATCAAGCGACGTCGATTGAACGTCAGTCAACTCTTTGTATATGATCGAAGACACATTTACTTCAAACATGATAGCTCCACCTTGCTTATTTTATACAGGATTCCTCCAGACTCTCCTCCACATTTTTGTGGAAACATAAAATTGAGATGGATATAAAAGGCTCATTTTGCGATATTCGCAATAAAAAGTGGAGATGTTAAATAAAGAAGACTGTTGAATGTTGACGCATAATATGGTAGCTCAGCTGTAGGAGGAGAGTCTGGGATTCTGTATATTTTTTTACATTATATATCGTATGTATTATGTATATAATATTTACATATAATGTTTTATATTTTCTTGTGATTTTTTTCAGCCTCTGCGGCTGCTTGCGACCGACTTGCGATAGGTATAGGACGACCTTAACACATGACCGAAATGGTATAGATGCTGTGGTGGCTGAGAGTAAACATACGACCGCAAAGAGCTGACAGTGAGTTCTGTTGAGGTAGACAAGCTTTTGTGTCGTGTCGTGAATATTTCAATTTTGCTCAGCAATAAGTCAAATGAATACACGGAGAGAATTTTAAAGTAGATTTTACTATAGAATTTTCTTTCAACCGAGGAATAGACATTCTGCAGTAATTGACTATTCTTTCATTTCATGTGTGCTACTTGCATTTTAGGAACTGCGCTATTGACAAATTTCTTATGTTTCTAGCGAGATTTGCTATGTTTTTGGCTAAATGTATCATGTCCCTTAGTAAGACATATCTTACTGACAGTCTATTCCTGCACTGCTAGAAACACAGCAACATTGAAAAGAATTTATATGAAGAGAACTGTAACATTCTTCCCGTAAAATTCATATCAAACTGTATTGTTAGAAAAATTTTATAATTTAATTGTGAGGTTTTTTTATATAGCAGATCATGAAAATTAATAACCAAATTGATATTACATTTAATAATGCTTAATCATAAAAGGGAATATGTTCTATAATTTTATATTAAATAATAAAATGTCATAACATCATTTTCAAACTAATAATACTAATAATACTAATAGTATGAAAACTTTGCACAATTATAAATCTTATAAAATTCTTACTAAATTTATCAGCAAGAATGTTGTTATACTTAAAAACTTCTTTAACAGTATAGGTATTGTAGGTTGAGGATTACGGAATTGAGGATTTAAGAACTTGTCCAATCGGGACAAAGAGAGCCAAGATCGAAATTAATTGAATTCTAGCCTCTATAATTCGCAATCTTCCAACCCCAATGTGTAATTCGGCACAGGTTTAATGCAATGAAATACTCCAAATTGGCATTAGTCTCACGCGTGTCAAATTTTCCCGAGTCGCGCGAGTTCGCAACGTCCGCCAATTATCATCGTTGCTGAGACAATAGTCCGTAAGAATATGGTTTATTTATCTACGATGAGATACCAATCTCCACTCACGCGAATCATCCGGCGAGTAAGATCCGCGCGACGCGGTAACGAGGTGTACACCACGTGAGAAACTCGTCCCCGTTTTACGCGAAGCCGATCCGCGCGGCAGATTGCGGTAACGCGATAAATGCGCGAATTCAAGGAGCACTATACTCCCGGTATCCCGGAGAAATTCAGCGTTCATTCAATGCCGCCGCAGTCGCGATACCTTAATATAGCTCGCGCGAACTTGTCGCGTAAAAGTCCGCGTAACGGAAGTCACAAAACCGTTGCGCGCACAGGCATTTCCTCTTTTTCGTCTGCCTTCGATCGCGACGTTTATAAATGGTCGATCGCGTGCGGGGATCTCAAGAAGAGGTTACTGGACCAGTTTCGCATGGAGAAAGAACGGCGAGATCTCGCGAGGATGAGTGCGAACGACGACGCGTTTCCGCGCGAGGGCCGCGCGGTTTCTTTCTCGCACTTCCGACGAATAAGAGGGACGCTTTGCTCGCGAAACGCGAATCAAATCTGCCGAGTAGTAGCGGAATCAACACTAACTCGCTCTGCTGCGGTTCACCTGGAAAATTCTGCTCGCAGATCACCTAGTATTTGTTTTTATATGTAATTAAGCGTGGAGCGGAATTTTAATCTGTTTACGTATATATATCTATATTTTTCTTTGTAAAGACAGAACATTTGTCTGTGTAGAGAGAACAAATAATTATCGCCGTAACGCACGTAAGGTGAAAGTAGCAATTTCCGTAAACGTACCTAATCCTGGACAATTCTTGTGTTTTGATTTTTAAACATGAATATTTAAACTTGCAACACAAATGAAAAACATACATGTATATACAGGGTGTCTTACACTCTCCTCTGGGCATTTTGTGGGAACGTAGAACAGGTTGAAGTGAACATAAAAGTCCTCTACCGTTTTGCGATATTCGCAATAATTATCGAGATATTAATTGTAGAAAATTTGTAAATGATCATGCAGAATATGGTAAATGAGTTATAGTAGCGACGACTGCCGTCGTGTACTTATACTTTAGGTCAAATTGAACAAAAAAATCCTCTACCACTTTCCAAATAATCACATAGATTTTTAATTATTAATTAAAGAAGATTATTGCATAATTTTGCGTGATAATGCACTCATCTTCTTTAATTAATAATTAAAAATCTATATGATTATTTGCAAAATGGTAGAGGACTTTTTTGTTCAATTTGACCTAAAGTATAAGTACACGACGGCAATCGTCGCTATTATAACTCATTTACCATATCCTGCATGATTA